ACTAGGTTCATTTCTTTTGAAACAATGTTGAGTGAAGTTTAATTCGTCATCGAATTATCTATTTTAGGAATGGATTTAAGATTTAAACAACATCTTACGTTAATCTAGATTCATTTTCGCTTTAACCATATTTTGCGGATCAAATATTTGTGCATATCTAATGATCTACGAGGTACAGGTAATTAAAATGAGCAGTCCAAAAAGAAGTTCAATTCGACCTGTAAATTTTTTAAGTACCTTTCTCAAAAAATTTCTCATTATTGAATACTATTTTTAAGAAGTTTAAACAATGTTTTATTCAAATGCAGTCTCCTTCCAAAAGTCTATATTGGAGATGGATTCAAGATTTAAAACACATACTATGTCACTCTTAATGCATGTCCCATTTGGATCCATGATTATATAGTTCGAGTAATATTATAAGTATTACTCGAACTACATAATCACATACGTTAAGAGTGATCGATCGACTAGTGGGATCGGAATCCGGTGGCGGTGGGAGTGGGGAATCCGCGGCTATGCAACTATTAAGTCAGGTGGTGGGGATCAATCGATTTAATGCCAAACTTATCCATCCTTCCCGATCTTAAACACATACTAAGTCACTCTTAATGCACGTCCATTTCGGATCCATGATTGTGTAGTTCGAGTAATACTGCAAGTCCAACAATCCGTAAATAATTAAAAGTAATGGCCCAAATAAATTTTAATAATCTATTTTTAGGGTTCAATAGTCATTTTTTTGATAAATCAATGGGGAAGAAGGCCCCTATCCGTTTTCATTAACAGTAATGAAATAAAGTATGACTCATAATTTTATAATCCTATAGCAGTGTATCCTAAAGTAAGGGAAAAGAGATAAAATCCGACTCTCTAGAGCATCAAATTGTAGCAGTAAAGTTTTCAAGCATAAGAGAAAGTTGCGTTCAAGATTCATTCTTCTTTAATGTTTCCAAAAAAAATTAAAAAATATTTCTTCCTAGATTTTATGTTGTATCTGTCAAAAGTAAAATTTGAAGCCTAAAGTGTATCTTTGAGCGGATTTTAAAAGGACATCCAGTTGAATTGGTGCATCAGCTCGCACCCCAAAGCATGTCCATTTTTCCATCATTCCTTCATCTTCTAATATTGGATATTTCAACCACAACTTTTCTTGAATTTTTTTGAATTTTATTTAGGAGAATGTTAACATGTGCGCTTTTTCTTGTTGGGGGTATTTGATCAATTTATCTTTTGTGTATTATTTTTTATATTTTTATTAAATTATCTTATTTTTAAATAATAGACATTCAAAATTTCAAGTGATTTTAATTTGTAGAAAAAAAATAAAAATTCAAATACAAAAAGAGATCGCGACCATTAGATTGGACCCAGATCCAATCTGGCCCACTAACTGATACTGTACCTATTTGCCTATGGGCTAACAATGCATATCCATTGTTATATATATATATATATATATATATATATATAAAGATTGTTTTCATATCCAAAAAGATTTTCCATCCAAGCATTATAACTACTCTCACTCTCTATAACCTCTCTCAATGCATGCACTCCCCACTCTCACGCTCTATCTCTCTCATTAGTTAGGGGTTTTGATGTTATAGAAGTTTGAAGACCCTGAAAGGACTTTTCATTTATTATTGAAATGGTCATGTTTGACAGCTGTTTGTTTGGGACTTCCAATTGATATTGAGAACCCATTAGGTCAAAACAATGGAGCACTTTATCAACCAAACCAACATGGCCACAAGCACCAAGGACACCCATAAATATCACCCAATTGGGCTTCAATCCTTAATTTCTTCATCTCTCATGCATCTCTCATAAGACCATTAAAGCTAGCTCTAATCTCCCACACTTCGAATATGTCTCTAAGATGACGTGCCCAAGAGAATGCTATTCCATGCTCACCCATTAAAAAATGTACCCATCATCCTAACTCTAAAGCACCCATATGAGCATAAATCGATGTGATAGACATCCACTCTCTTAACCACCCCATATGCATGCATCCTCAAAACCCAACCCACCAAACTCCTCTCAGGCATATCATAAAAAACTAGCATTCCTTTCTCAATGCATCCACACTTTCCATACATGCCTAAAAGAGAATGTCCCTCTTTGCTGCATACATCTTCTTTATTCTCAATAACATATGTTCATGAAATCAAATAATATATGTTCGTTTTTATGTAGTACACCTTATAAATAAATATTATTATTATTATTTTATTATCGTCATGCATGTTATACCTCCATAAAATCAAATCAAATAACATATATTCACTGTTATGTATTGCAATATTTATCTACGATTATAAATGTTTTTCTTTGTTGTCAACAAATGTTAAAATATTATCTTAATGTATAAAATCACTATTCTAATAACTATATTTATATCATGTAAATACCTGGCAAAATATGTTAGACCTCGAGACAGGTCATATTGTCGTATACATTCGGCAAATGTTCAAAATATGTAATGACATTACGTAATAGGAAATAGATCATAACTCTAGAAACCACTCATATCTTATTCGTTGTATGATTTACTGAAATAATGTTCAATGCATATTGCAAATTTGTAATAACCATGACGTAGCCCTAGAAAGCATTCAATTCGTTAGAGTTCTTTGAACAAAGATCAACGTAGAGATGCACGTTAACGTTATATATTTATATGATTAATGATCATTCTATTCTACGTGCAACATAAGTAATCCAACTAGTTTTTTATCAAGAATGTGTAGAGCTTATTTCTAAGGCTAGCTTTAAAATGTTGTTTTCATTTTTTTATTGGAATGATATTTAATATCCAAATGTTGTACATCTTTTCGGTCTAAGCTATAGTCATCAGTAAGTAATGAAATATTTTATAGGAGAATGATCATGTATATTAAACCGGGGGAAAGCTTTCTATGTTCTTTCTACAATATAGAAGTTCTATCCTCCCTCTTATCCAACCGTCCATTTTTTAATGGAGGGCTAAGATTGCCCAATCACAATGCCACATCTCTACATTGTTTTATTTTTAATTATTTTTTATATAAAATGTTTTGACGTCAAATTTTGGGCATCTATTCCTCTATTAAACTCACACTAACGAAAAATATAAAAAAAAATATTTTCAATAAAATAAAATGACCAAAATACCATGAAAATTCAAGAAGTATTTTGGTCATTATTTTTTATCGAAAAATTATTGTTAATATTTTTCATAGGTGCGCCCCAATGAGAAGATGGCACATGCCAAATTTCATATTCAAAAAAATTGTATTAAAAAAACTAAACATAAAATACTTGAAGACATCGGATCTAAAATCAAACGACGAATGGGTCTCTTGATAAAAAATGGACGGCTAGATGGTAAGGGAAGGATAGATCTTCTTTGTGGTCGAGGCAACTTTCCCTTATCTCGGAGTGCTTGGAGCCTTTCCTACATTAAATATTATTTTAGTCTTGTTTAACCGTACTGGGCTCTCTCTCTCTCTCTCTATGTGCGCATGCTCCATTGGCACAAACCACTATCTTTACGAGCTTCTCTCTCTCTCTCTGACAACCCATGAAATCTCTCTCCCCCCTTTCTCTCCAACAGCAACAAAAACACTATTCATGAGTTTCATCTCTCTCTAAGAGCAAAGCCCATGAACTACATCTCTCTTTTTCTCTCTCGAGCAACAAAAACCCATAACTTTCAGTTTATGTTTTTTTTCTTGTACAATTTCACAGTTCTTGTTGAAGAACAGAAAAAACTCCCCCCATGAATTTCAATACATTTTTTCTCTTTCACAATTTCATAGTTCATATTGAGATTTATTTCCAGGAGAAGACAACAATGGTTGTCATCTCCATTAGAGTGAGAAAGTCATATCCCTTAAAGTGAGACAAGGGTGGAGGGATCCACCAATGACATGAAAAAAGCAAAAGGATTAAACCTATTTTACCTATTTGAACTAAGACTTAACCATCAAATTTTTTAGAGAGAAAGAGAGAGAGTTAGGTTTTGAGCCAATCTTCAACATAATAAGATAAAAGAGATAGAGGAAGGAGCTGGGTATAGAGATCTCTTCAACCAGGTAAAGATGTAGTGTCATAAAGAA